TGTCCTTGCAAAGTTGGAATTGCCCCACTTTATAGAAACAGTCTTTGTACCATAGCCGGCATTGTAGGCTACTCTCCCAGGAAACAGGCCTCCATAAAATGTGCTGCACACACTCGAATATTTGGGTTGAACTGTTCTGGAACAGTGTTGTAAATACAACTTAACCACTGATTTCTAGTTGTGTCCTCTTTTGAAAGGCCAAACAAAGTAGTTTCGCTTTCACAACGAAACACACAGCGTCTCCACAACATGGCGGCGGCGGCAGCAACAATACTACAGCAAGAATCAAAGTTACACCTTCTTTCTTTGCGTGAACATTTGGGCGGTGTTATGCAAATCGTCCCACACAGTGACGTAGACGTGGGGGCGTGTTTAAACGAGGCGTTTAGGAGAGCGTGGACGACTCTTAACTTTTTTAAAGAATATCTCTTTGGGTTTGAGACTTTAGTCTTTGCAACTTTAGGGATCTTATCTATGCACGAACAGCTTGTAACACTCCAAAGAGAAAGGAAAACTTGAAATCGCATCATATGACCCCTTTAATAATAGTTTTGAGAATTATATGACAACTTTTGTCAGAGTTTTAGTAAGCTATCTTACCGATTTGACAGTTTTTGCCAGAGTAACCCTCTGGGCAGGAGCAGAAATATTCATCTGGCTCTGTATTCAGACACGTGCCTCCATTTACACAGGGCTTGTGTGTGCCACAGTAATTTAGATCTGTACAGAAACAAATACATAAAACAAAATCAGTCTTTTCTAGCAGGAAAGCATATGGCAGATAAAGTTGTAACACTCCATTCAGAGCAGCAAAATGTGTGTGGATGTCAGTGAATGTTATAAAGTGAAAGGGAACAGACCAACTGCATGAATCAACTGCATTCATTTAATATCTTAACAAAACATTTAATAACACCAAGAATCTCATATAAAAGGGTTATTTTGTGAATGTGTATGTTTGCAAATTGTTTAGATAAACTACCATTCAAAAGTTTGGGTTAAGTAAGATTTTTATGCCCATCAATGTTGCGTTTAATTGATCAAATATAAAGTAAAACAGTAATATTGTGAAATATTATTACAATTTAAAATAACTCTTTTCTATTTTAATATATTTAAAATGTAGTCTATTCCTGAGATGGTAAAGCTGAATTTCCATCAGCCATTACTCCAGTCTTCAGTGTCACATGACCCTTCAGAAATCATAATAATATGCTCATTTGGCACTCAAGCAACATTTCTTCTTATTATCTGTGTTGATAAAAGAACAGCATTTATCTGAAATAGAAATTTTCTATAACATTATAAACATCTTTACTGTATCTTTTATTCAAACCTTGCTGGATAAAAGTATTAATTAATTTATTTATTTAAAAAAAAAAAAAACTGGCTGTGTGTTTTCTTTTCAGCTATTCTGTGCTGGCAGTCATGCCAGAAACCTAACTAAATGCAAAAAAACGGCTAACAAAGTGAAAATTTCATCTGATGTCCCCTTTAAAAGAAGGCAATTCAACCTACCTTTGTCACACAGAAGTCCTCCCCAGTTCTTCTCACAGGTGCAGGTCCAGGGTTTCATACAGGTGCCATGCACACAGCCCGGGTACAGTAAACACTCATCGCACAGTGGGCCCTGCCAGCCGTACTTACACCTACAAAGCCAACAGAGCAATGAACAGGAGTGTGTGTGTGATATTTCTGCACAAGCCTCCCTGAACTGAATCTATACCACTTAACACATTTATCAAACAGCAGTTAAACCTATTACATCATGTCAGCTTAGCATGATTTTCCACTTTCTTTTTATTTAGTATATAAGTTTATGGTAGTGTCACACATTGCACATGTACACTACAGTGGTAACTCTAAGAGAGGGACGTCTGAGTATCACGGAGACAGGAGTGTAAACTTCTTTCCAGTAGCAGACATAGGTCATGACCTCTGTCTCTTTTCTAATCTTAGAAAGCAATGAATTCCAGACAGACTGGTGGTCAAAGGTCACTTCCACCTCACATACTTTAAAAGTTGGCTGATATACATATATATATATACATATATATATATATACACACACACACATTATAAAAGGGAAATGTTCAGGACATTTAATAAAGAGAATCTTCTGCAAATTATTTCTTAGTTAAATTATTACTCTTCCAGCTGTCTTGACTCTATACCAACAGTATTTTTTAGGGATGTGCATCTCCATAACTGAGGCCGATGCGATACGCATCTCAATGCATAGCCAACGATACGATACATTAAAGATACATATGAAGTAGCTACTGATGTGATGTGATACGATTTACCCCTATTACGATGCAGTGCGATCCGATTCAACACAATGTGATTCAATGCAACACGATGCAATGGAAAAAATATGATGCTATGAAATTCAATATGGTATACAGATAGTTTGCTTTTATTTCTTTGGTTCATTGTAATTATTTGGTGGAATATGCAGCTTTTACTCTGCCATGTTAATTTATATTCTATGTGACTCTCAGGACAGTTGTGATATGTCATATTCACGTAGCAGCTGTGGTGATGGTTTTATGCAGTGGTTTTATGCCAATGCACCGATGCGAATCGGTGAATCTTACCATCCCTATATTTTTTAAAGACGTTACGCACTGTTTGATTGACAACGTCCTTGGCATAGTAAATAATTAATTGGAAACAGGCATTTTTCCTAATGCTTTTAAAAGTGGGTTCCTTAGCATTACAATCTAAGAAAGAGGTAAAGAACCTGGGTATCATTTTGGATAGCAAAGAGAAACGCTGTGACCTTGCGATGAACTACAGTCACAATGTAGCAGTGTAGGGGAAAGGGAAAGTCTGTTTGTGGGTGTGTGGGAAAAAGAAAAACAGCTTCTTAAAGTGCGAGAGAACACAACATCAACAATGATTCAAATCTAATCTATGCTGTTCATGAAGGTGGGTGTTGGCTTGAGATTCTCACATTGCAGCTCTTTCCATTCCAAACAAGAAATTCACACCTGATTAAATTAGCAATAACATCGTCTAGGGATATGATAGGGATATGGGTGAATGAGGTGGTGACATGATCATCAGAAGCCCAATCACGTACCTGAGGCCAGAGATCATTTGCATATTACCAATATGAGCGGTACTATCTACACTAATTTGTCTAAATAAATTACACTAAAATTAATCGTTTAAATGCTACAAGTTAATTTAGGCATCAAACTGTACAATATAACTGTACAATAAATGATGTGAATGGAAATATATATATACATATATATATATATATATATATTTTCTATTTTAATATATTTAAAATGTAGTCTATTCCTGAGATGGTAAAGCTGAATTTCCATCAGCCATTACTCCAGTCTTCAGTGTCACATGACCCTTCAGAAATCATAATAATATGCTCATTTGGCACTCAAGCAACATTTCTTCTTATTATCTGTGTTGATAAAAGAACAGCATTTATCTGAAATAGAAATTTTCTATAACATTATAAACATCTTTACTGTATCTTTTATTCAAACCTTGCTGGATAAAAGTATTAATTAATTTATTTATTTAAAAAAAAAAAAAACTGGCTGTGTGTTTTCTTTTCAGCTATTCTGTGCTGGCAGTCATGCCAGAAACCTAACTAAATGCAAAAAAACGGCTAACAAAGTGAAAATTTCATCTGATGTCCCCTTTAAAAGAAGGCAATTCAACCTACCTTTGTCACACAGAAGTCCTCCCCAGTTCTTCTCACAGGTGCAGGTCCAGGGTTTCATACAGGTGCCATGCACACAGCCCGGGTACAGTAAACACTCATCGCACAGTGGGCCCTGCCAGCCGTACTTACACCTACAAAGCCAACAGAGCAATGAACAGGAGTGTGTGTGTGATATTTCTGCACAAGCCTCCCTGAACTGAATCTATACCACTTAACACATTTATCAAACAGCAGTTAAACCTATTACATCATGTCAGCTTAGCATGATTTTCCACTTTCTTTTTATTTAGTATATAAGTTTATGGTAGTGTCACACATTGCACATGTACACTACAGTGGTAACTCTAAGAGAGGGACGTCTGAGTATCACGGAGACAGGAGTGTAAACTTCTTTCCAGTAGCAGACATAGGTCATGACCTCTGTCTCTTTCCTAATCTTAGAAAGCAATGAATTCCAGACAGACTGGTGGTCAAAGGTCATTTCCAGCTCACATACTTTAAAAGTTGGCTGAATTAACACAGAGGAAAAGAAATGTCATTCAGACACACGAAACTGGACTTGCACACAGAGACACACTCATGAGAGAGGTGACAATTCAATACACATAACAATGTTCACTATATCAAAGAGCACACTTTTACTATGAACTACTATTTTGAACATCTATTTCTTTACTGATTATTTAATTAAACAGCCAAATTTAAAAATGTTTTTAATTAAAATTTTAAAGGTGATCACTGGCCAAATTAAACATGCAAATGTGAAGAGATCATGTGACAAACGTAGTGAGCTCATGTCTATAACTGTAAACAGTACAGTACCATAGACAGTACACACTTTGATATGTTTAATGCTTTCATTTTCATATATTTAAAAATAACATCCAGTATTTACTGCAGAGTATTCAGTAATAAGCTAATATTCCATTCTAAATATAGACATTCATGAGGGAGGCGGAGCTAATATTGTCATATTATCATTCAGTTGTCTGCTCAGCTCATTCAAGACTATTTAAAGCTGCTGTGCATGCCAGAAAATGTGTGTGCGAAACAATTTTACTCTAATGAACAGACTCATCTCGTCGGGATGCATGACCTGAACAGAGAGAGAGAGAGAGAGAGAGATCAACTAACACTTACACACATTCTCCCGGAGTGTCACAGCTTCCGTGAAGTTCACTGCAGCCTTGCTTACAGATAGCTGAAAGACAAATAAATATGAATGAGCTTTATTATATTTCTTTGCTCTCCCTTGATTTACACATGTAATTTACAGTCACAGACTGATGACAATTATAATAAGGTGTTCACACGTATAATGTGTTTATTGCTGGAGGTCAGGGAAACGTGAACATTTTTATCATAAATGGGATGTATTACCTGTAAAAAAAAAAAAGAAGTTAAGACTGGCAACATAATATAATATGAAGTGTCATTTGATAGAGATTTTGCTATAATGTTTATGTTGTGGATACTGTGTGTAAATATATGTATAAACTGCTTGAAGTTGTTAGTATGTTGCTTAGGAACTTTGTACTTATATTACTTTTTTGCTGCGGTGATCAATAATTGATCAATTATAGATCAATAATTGCAATATTTCATTAGCATCTAAAGTTACAATCTTACTGTAACATTGTTTATCATGAAATAAAATTACTCATATAGTTGAAAAAGATTTTGGTCATATTGCCCACACCATAAGAAGTCACTGCATTCTACAGTAACAGATAAGGAATCTTAATCTTAGTTTTTGCTGCCAAAAATTTGCATGTCAAGAAATCCTCACTTTTTTAAAACACTGCTGCATGTGATGTTGCATGCAACATAGTCAAAATCACTCACAGTAATATTAAATTCATGGACCACAGTATCTTACGCAATGTTGTCGTAAAACATAACATAAAACAAAACGTAAAACTTAAAGTTGGTATGAAACGGAAGTTGTGATCATCTTTTCTGCCCATGTGATTTATATCCAAGTGAAATTTCTTAAACTAGAAAAAATGTAGGATGGGACTTGATTGGATTGTTGGATCATTTTCATTTGCTAATTGCTGCTATCTTATGTGTGTGTTAGCAAACTCGCACACCTTTCTTGCAATCTTGTCCGGTCCAGCCCTCCATGCACTGCTGATTGCCGGACTGATCGCACGTGTAATGGCCAAAGTAATCGTCTCGGGGGCGACACTGTTTGTTGCACTTGTTGCCGTAGTAATGGCGGTCGCAGCGCACACGCACACTGTACTGGATGCTGGCTGTTCGGCCCTTGTGCTGAATGAGCTGTCGCTCCTCTCCAGGGTTCATTTCTCCACGATTAACACTCCTCTCGATCAACAGATCATCACCTATGGGAGATACAGAAATGTTTATTTATATGTGTATGTGTGTGTGTGTGTGTATTACAAAGCACGGCCTGTCTTCCTGCTTCAGTGGAACACATACTTGTCTCAGACTGCTTGGGAGCCAGTGAGGAAATAATACAATCAGGAACAGACAAGCCCCCCCACCCCTCCAAGGAAAACACACACACATCCAAACTCCCTCTATAGCAAAGAGAAACGCTGTGACCTTGCGATGAACTACAGTCACAATGTAGCAGTGTAGGGGAAAGGGAAAGTCTGTTTGTGGGTGTGTGGGAAAAAGAAAAACAGCTTCTTAAAGTGCGAGAGAACACAACATCAACAATGATTCAAATCTAATCTATGCTGTTCATGAAGGTGGGTGTTGGCTTGAGATTCTCACATTGCAGCTCTTTCCATTCCAAACAAGAAATTCACACCTGATTAAATTAGCAATAACATCGTCTAGGGATATGATAGGGATATGGGTGAATGAGGTGGTGACATGATTGCATAGCCAACGATACGATACATTAAAGATACATATGAAGTAGCTACTGATGTGATGTGATACGATTTACCCCTATTACGATGCAGTGCGATCCGATTCAACACAATGTGATTCAATGCAACACGATGCAATGGAAAAAATATGATGCTATGAAATTCAATATGGTATACAGATAGTTTGCTTTTATTTCTTTGGTTCATTGTAATTATTTGGTGGAATATGCAGCTTTTACTCTGCCATGTTAATTTATATTCTATGTGACTCTCAGGACAGTTGTGATATGTCATATTCACGTAGCAGCTGTGGTGATGGTTTTATGCAGTGGTTTTATGCCAATGCACCGATGCGAATCGGTGAATCTTACCATCCCTATATTTTTTAAAGACGTTACGCACTGTTTGATTGACAACGTCCTTGGCATAGTAAATAATTAATTGGAAACAGGCATTTTTCCTAATGCTTTTAAAAGTGGGTTCCTTAGCATTACAATCTAAGAAAGAGGTAAAGAACCTGGGTATCATTTTGGATTGTGATTTGAGTTTCAAGTCTCATATTAATCAAAATACAAAATACAAAATACAAAAAATACAAAAACTTGATTCTATCACCTGAGAAACATTGCTGGGATTCATCCTTTCTTTTCTTTTAATGATGCTAAAAAACTAATTCATGCATTTATCTTCTCTCGACTTGATTACTGTAATGCTATGTATACTGGCTTACCTAGGGGTTCTATAGTTAAGTTACAATTGATGCAAAATGCAACAGCCAGAGTATAAGTTGCTTATGAGTATAATAGTCTGTGAAGTTTGTGTAATTTTTGCAGTGTTTTATTTTACGTTTTGGGTTTTTTGCTTTATTTATTTATTTATTTATTTTGCAATTTGATTCTTCTATATTTGTTCATATTTGTTTACACTTGTTGAATCATATAGAGTTTTGATTATCTTGTATTGATATTGTATTCTTAATGTTTGTTTTATGCTTGTGAAGCACTTTGAGTTGCATTCCATGTATGAATTTGTTTTACAGTTTGGCGTCAGTAAGAATTATTTTTAAAGAAATGATATTTATTCAGCAAGGAAACAAAAGTGACAGTAAATAATTTTATATTGTTGCAAAAATTTGATTACAAAAATTCTGTTCTTTTGAACTTAATTCATCAAAGAACAGTAAAAAAATATGATCATGGTTTCCATAAAAATATTAAACAGTAACATATTAAAATAGAAATTAGTCATGTTAAATTGTAATAATATTTCACAATTATTATTATTATACGTATATACAATTATTACATTAAATGCAGTTAAATGCAGCATTGGTGAGCATAAGAGACTTTAACACTTGCCAAACTTTTGAATGGTAGTGAGATACTATATTATATATATATATATATATATATATATATATATATATACATACACTCACTGTGATAGTCTGATTATTCCATGTAAAATGACCCACAGACTCTCATTAAATCTAAAATATATATATATATATATATATATATATCCATAAACTCCCACTGGAATGCAGAATATATTTTAAACACACAGAACAAAATTGTCGGATGTTTTAGAGATATGGCAGTGGTATTTCTGACAGGTCGTTATGTCTGACTTCCAGCCAAGGTGCTCTATAAATCGTCCTTGTGCACGTTCTCTCACGAATCCTTCCCCACAGCCGAAATCACCCCGCTCGCCCCATCTCAGGCCACTTGCTCTCTTCCTTAAATGGACACACGATTCCAGAAGTGGAACAAAAGCTTTGACATACTTCCCTACTTTCCGACTAAAAAAAGGAATTCGACACGCTCTTTTATATCAAATGTGCCAACCCCCTTTTTGCTTTCCTCTCTTCCCCCTCTCACTCTCCCCCCACTTAGAAATATAAAAAAATCTAGTACTCCTAATTCATCTACAGCAATTAGTTACAAAAATACACACCAATCACTCCCTCTCTATAAGCTGAAGGAGACACTAGAGACTGTTACTGGGTAGAGTCACAGTAGCGTGTGTGTGTGTGGGGGGGAGACCCTGAAGATAAGCCAGCTCAAGAACACAGTCACACACACGGATAAGAGCCCTAACTATCAAACAGGTAAGCAAATGAACGGCTCTCGCCAGGTCTGGAACGTAATCAGTTGTGTTTATCCGTGAGCTTCATCCTTGATCTGAGAGGCTCTCTTTAACTCATAACAACAGCTTTAGATAAAGAAAAATCTCAGGAAACACAGATGATGGCTACTGTTAGCCTTAAAAACAACGTATCTTTTCTTAGTTTCTTTTCTTCCCTATTATTTTCTTTCTGTCCCATTCACATCTCTTCATCAGTCTGTCTCCAGTTTGCTCAGTTTCACTGCCTCCATCACAATGGGTGCGATTTGGCCCCCATCGCCACGGCGATAACAGATCACAAACAATAGACCAAAGAGTCAGACAAGGCCAAATAATTTCCCCTATAATTACACAATGCTCTCTCGCCCACTTTTCTAAGTTTTCGTCCATGTTAATGTGCCCCACCTTTCTTAACTTCCCTTTTGCATTTTTTCCACTTATCCACTATATTACCATCTAGCGATCTACCAGCCAGCACTACAGCACAAGTGAAACACAATAACGCCCCTTTCTCTGCCCCTTGACGATACGTGAACAATGCAGTTGACCTGCTGGCTAGAAAGAGCTGTTTAGAGTCCAAACGTAGAGCTGGAGAGACGGACTTCCTGAAAGGTAAACAGTCCCGCGAGACCCTCTCCTCCAAGGGCCCCCGCTACCTGATGCCCTGCAAACGCCAAAACCTTCTTGCATCTAAAGCCAGATTTTGTTTTTTTGTTGTTTTACTTCAAGGCCTGATCTACATCTGTGAGCTAATTCTAGAAGATAGCGCTGGAAAAAACACCTGTAAAAAAAAAATGAAAATGTGAGGCAGGTATGACTCCCTGATGATGAATTGATCTCTTGCTGACAGCAGATATGTCTGTGGTGTCTAGGAAACAAAAACATGCACAAATATAAACACAGAAACCACCCGCTGTGATGATGATTTCTTTCAAAGAAGTACTTTGTCATTATTATAACTATTCAAAATAATAACAACAACAGCATGCAATTATGCAAGACCTAAAGATGTGTATTTAATAAGAAGAAATATTACACAATATTAAAGTAAAGATTAATAAAAGTAAATATTTACATAAAAAAATCAAGAAAAATATATAAAAATATATATTTTCTAAAACTATATATAT